TTTTAGTTTCTCTTTTGTTGAAACATGCTGTGAACATTGGAGGCATGTGTAAGTAATTGTTAACAGCCATTTCTATCAATGTTCAAGTTCAAGAATATTATGATTAGTTGTAGTTTTGAGTTTTCTCGCATCGTATAAGTATGTATTACAACCAAGTGTATAGTTGACACATTGTCAAAGTTGTATTGACTGACCTGCACCAGTGGATTTGGGTATAAATGTTAATGTAACTCAAGATTTAAGCGGATACAAAGCTCTTTTATAAAAGCAGAAACTAAAAACCGTCATGACACGTGTTATGTTGAAACATGCTGTGAACATTGGAGGCATGTGTAAGTAATGCTTGTTTTGAGTTTTCTCGCATTGTATAAGTATAAGTATGTCTTACAACCAAGTGTATAGTTGACACATTGTTGGAGTTGTATTGACTGACCTGCATCAGTGGATTTGGGTATAAGTGTTAATGTAACTCAAGACTTAAGCGGATACAAAGCTGTTTTAGAGAACAGAAACTAAAAACCGTCATGACACGTGTTATGTTGAAACATGCTGTGAACATTGGAGGCATGTGTAAGTAATGCTAGGTGGTACTTGTTAACAGCCATTTCTATCAATGTTCAAGTTCAACAATATTATGATTAGTTGTTTAGAGTTTTCTCGCATTTAATAAGTATAAGTATGTCTTACAACCAAATGTAAAGTTGATGTATAGGGGAATTACCTTAAAGTTGTACTTAGTTCCAGTACTTGAGTAAATGTACTTAGTGATCTTTCACTATATCTCATGTTATAGTGTCTGTAAACATCAAAACATGTGAATCAGCCAGGTAGTACTATACCGACTTGTTTTTGTTTTTCAGGTCAGAGCAACATGATCATGACGGTGCCTCCCTTAGCTCTGCTCACCTTTACTCTACTGTTGAATCAACTCACCGGTGCTCCTGTGGGGAAAATATTAGTTTTCCCACTGGATGGAAGCCACTGGATAAACATGAAAATACTCATCGAGGCGCTGCATGCCAAAGGCCATGAGGTCGCCGTGCTCAGGGCGAAAGACAGCTGGTACATCAGTGAGAAGTCTCCTTTCTACACCTCCATCACACTTCCAAGCACAGGTGGCTTTGAGGAAAACTTTGATACCTTTTTGTTGCCACAGCTGGCGATCCGGCTGCAGGGTAAGCCTACGTCTCTTTGGTCTCTCTTCTGGACCCAAGTTAAGTTGCAGTGGATGGTTACAAACCAGTTCTCGGAGTTCCACAAGCGAGTGAGCGAAATGGTCGATAAGATGTTTGAAGATGAGAACCTGATGCGTTCCCTACACGAGGCCAAATTTGACGTGGTTTTGACTGACCCTGGCATCGGCGGAGGGGCCATGCTGGCACGTCGGCTTCAAGTTCCCCTTGTTTTCAATGTCAGATGGACCATTCAAGGTGAAGCCCATCTTCTCCTGGCTCCATCGCCTCTGTCATACATTCCTTTTACTGCAACAGAGCTCACAGACAGGATGACCTTCCCTCAGAGAATCAAGAATGTTTTGAGTTATGTTCTTGGGATGTACACACTGTCCTCCATCACAGAACCTCATTACAAACCTTTGGTTAGGAAGTACTTTGGTCCTGATGCGGATTACTCAACATTTTTCCTGGACGCTGATATATGGCTTATGAGGATTGACTTCGTCTTTGAATATCCACGTCCTACGATGCCAAATGTAGTCTACATTGGTGGATTTCAGTGCAAGCCCCCAAAGCCCCTGTCCGAGGACCTGGAGAAGTTTGTCCAGAGCTCCGGAGACCACGGTGTCGTTATGATGACCTTAGGAACTTTGGTAGGCAAGCTTCCCCGAGATGTTGCTGAGGAGATTGCTGCAGCCTTCGCTCAGCTGCCTCAGAAGGTTGTGTGGAGGTACGTTGGAGAAAGGCCAGTCAACCTGGGCAACAACACATTACTAGTCAACTGGTTGCCACAGAATGACCTCTTAGGACATCCCAAAACTAGGGCGTTTGTTTGCCACGGAGGCACCAATGGAGTTCAAGAAGCAATTTACCATGGGGTTCCTGTAGTTGGCCTTCCATTATTCTTCGATCAGCATGATAACCTCTCCAGAATCAAAGTGAGGGGAGGAGCTGTGAATGTGGACATTGCCATGCTCGATAGGCACATCTTCGCAGATGCACTTAGGACAGTTCTCTACAACTCCTCTTACAGGGAAAACATGCAGAGGCTCTCGAGGCTGCACAGAGACCAGCCCATGAAACCACTGGACCGGGCAGTGTTTTGGATAGAATTTGTAATGAGGCACAAAGGAGCCCCTCACCTGCAGACACAAGCCAACAAAATGTCCTGGTTTGTTTACAACTCTGTCGATGTCATTGCTGCTTTGTTGGCAGCTTTTCTGCTTTTAACTTTCACCTGCATTTCCGTTGTAAGATTACTGTGGAGAAGGATTTTTGTCGGAAAAAAGGTCAAACCTGAATAAATGAATGAAATGTGTTAAATCTAAGCATTTCTAGACATGATCCCAAATAGTCTCTGTGTGTGATGTTGCAAGAGGCAAACTATTTTTAACAGTATTTTCTAGATTTCTCCATTGGTTGAGGATTGTATCCTGCACAAACATGTGACTGTGAAGGTTTTCAAAGTCAATAATTATAAAGTAAATGATCTTCTAAATTAGTTCGATTTCTCCGGAGACAGTTTGTTTGCAACATATTAGACACAAGTTTACAGGAGGAACAGTGTCCATAAAGTATCCATCCAGCAGCTATATGTCTCTGGAGTCAAAGTCTGAGAGCAGTGAACTTTAACCAGATGACCTTATGATAAACTTGTTGATTTACCAATGATCCTGTATGTGTATGTGTTTCCATATTGAATTGTGTGCCATTCAGAGGAATTGTCTCCAACACGCCTGGACCCCTTCCCCTTTGTAATGTGTCATTTGTGTCCAAGCTCTTCCTTGAGGTTTAAATCAGCAATTTGTCTACTTCCATAATGAACCTGAGAGAGACAAAGAAAAGTGCATATATAAAGTGAGAGAATACATGTTTGATTATATATTAAACAAATGGTCAAAAGCTGGATGGTCAACATGTATTGACTTCTATGAATGTCTATCATTTTATTTGTACATTTTGTCCTCTTTTTCGGTTTGTTGGTCTGTCTCATTTTACTTATATTAGCTACTTTTACTTTCCTCTTGACTGTTATGTTTTGTCCCAGGTGCATATTAGGTATAATTAGCATTTGCCTTTTCTGGTTTAAATTTAGTTTATTGTTTAAATTCTTTGTGAATGGGTTCACCTTTTTGTTAACTTGTTTATTGTTTACTGTTTATCTTGTTTATTGTTTACTGTTTATCTTGTTTATTGTTTACTGTTTATCTTGTTTATTTTCAATATGTATTTCATTTGATTTTCCATTTTGTTATATTGAAATCAGTCCGTTTCTTGACAGGTCCAGATTTGAACAGTAGGTGGCAGCATAATGTTCTGCCATGGGATTAAGAAACAATGAGGAACCTTTTCCTTGCACAGATGATTTAAAATGTAAGCATTATCTCTTCAAATGTGTTTATTTTATGGCTTTTTGTTGAATTATAAAGTTTGTTTGGGCGGTGAAAAGTAAATAATGATAATAATAAAAACATGACAAGAGCACATACAGACAAAAATCTATTTCCTATTAAATCAAATTGCATTTCACTTTGATTTCAACCTCATCAAACTTCTATCCACTTTTGTCTTTCTAATTATCAAAATGTATACATTTTACATGCAAACTATTGAATTGTCCGTGTTTCCCTGATCGTAATCATACACAGGATATGATGTGAGAGAAACCTGGTTCCTCATATCTCTGAATGAATCCAACATTATCGAGGCTTTTGATTGTCTGTGCAGTAGTGACTGTGACTTCTATATGTCCCGGATACTTTTCATTAGTATACTGATGATCAACAGTGGCCTGTCTGACATTATGTACATCTTGACAACATTTAATAGAATATATACTGTATATCAACAATACATATTCAAATCTTTCTCAAATAATCGTGCATTATACAATTTACAGTTGAAAATAGTTTACAATAGACCCTCATTGAAATAAATATGAACATACTGTATGTGTGATAGTTGAAACAGATAAGGAATATGCTGGTGTAATCAGAACATGCTGTGTAGTAGATGTATGAATGCAGCAAATGAATGAGGCTACTGTGTTGTAGGTGTGGGACTCCATTAGCCTCTGTTAGTTCAAAGAGGAATAGGATTAAAACTCTACTTAAAGCCTGTGCATGTGCTGTTGAGGTCAGGGCTTAGTCAGCCTGTGAGACTGCTTGACCCAAAGCACAGTTTCAGGCATTTGTTAGGCACTTTGTTATGCACTGATACTGTCATGGACGGATTATCATGACCACAGGCCCTGGACATAAACTCGCTACAGATCCCTGCATGCAAAATAGTATGCGAAGACTGCGTGTGCCCGAGAGCGACCTGCAACCACACAGTTTATATCACTTTAGGCTAAAAGGACATCACAGTGTCAGACACAGTCTTAATACATCAAAGCCTATATATTACGATTTAATCTGCTGATTTACAATCAGGTAACAGTTTCAAAATCACATTTACTCCAATATTTTACAAACAAAAAATGCTACACAGCAAGAAAAGAGTTTCATAAAACATGTTCAAGCTAATGGGGCCCTGGACACTGGCTTACTTTCTCCATGCAGTTCATATTTGGAGAATCCTGTAGCAACGCCTGAGAAACACTGGCTTCTGATTGGTCAGTAGAAACAACTCTATTAAATGGCAGGTAACTATAGCAACAGCAGACCATTAACATTAGCGAAGCTGGTTTAACTAGAGTTTGATGTTAAAAGTGGCTACAGGCTGTTTCTCATGACTGATATTCACTCTGTAAATAATTTCGATGTAAGAAAAACAAATCCATGGATCCTTGTTTATTGTTTTTGATATCATCGATTTGTGCTCCTCTTTACGATGGGACGTCGCCTGCCTGTCCCCGTGGTCCTCTGAGACCTCGCGGGATTTGGGATTAGACGGAGGGGGTTAAAAAGGAACGTGGCTCCCTCGGCGCACCGGAGCTGACAGCAGCGGCGGAGGCAGCGCAGGTATCGGACAGCAGTACTGCAGGCTCCCGCTAGTCCACCCAGCGACACCTCCCTCTCTCCTCCCTGCGTGACACGGTCGGTGTGTGGGAGCTTCGGACGGATCCACGTCGCATCACTCACCCCCCCTTCCCTTTTTTAAAAAAAATCTCGCCTCTAACGGCATTTCCGTCTCCTCGTCCCTGAAGATGACACCTGGAAAACCCCGAGCTGCAGTCATGTCCTTCTCGGTGCTGATCCTCGGGGCGCTGATGCTGCAGCCCGTCTCCTCTCAGAACGGTAAGAGAAGCAGCTCTGCCCTCAGACATGATGCTAGTAACCCATCAACATGGCGTTTAAAAAGGGGGGGAACAGAATCATGCGGCTTTCAGGGAAGGATGTCGAGATGGTCCATTACGGGACGTGTGTGTTGTTAAGAAGCACGAATGTCTCCGCAGCCGCCAGGTCTCATTAGATAATCCCTGAAACCAGTGGAAGGGAAGCGCAGTGTTTCCAATCTCCTTCCCTGCAGTTTGAGATGAAGGGTCAATAAATCTTTGATGGGCCACAATGTGTATTCGTTTAGATGATGTGGTTCTCAGCAGAGGCCTGTGCGATGTCCCTAAAATGTCCTTTGGCGTGTGGAGCTGAATACAGAGTGGAAACATGAGCCCTTCACTCAGCAAGGACAAGTTACTGCTCATTACACTGGGCCAGGAGAGGACACATGGAGGAATGGTGTCTCTCTCTCTCTCTCTCTCTCACACACACACACACACACACACACACACACACACACACACAGACCATAACCATGCAAATGATGGTTAGCCTCAGAAGGATCAGGTTTTGGTCCCTATGAGTTCTAATGGTCCCAATAAGGTCAAAGGTTTACAGCTGGAAAAGGTCCTAAAGAGATGACATAAAGTACACACACACACACACACACACACACACACACGTTTATGCAGCTTTCCTCATCAGGATACTGCATTGACTTCCATTTAGTGGGGACAACATAAACAAAACCATATCACTAACCCTAAAGGGATAGTCCAGATACAGCGTCATTTACACCATGTTTTAAGCCTAAATGTCTGCTGTCATTTAGGCTAAAAACTTGGTTTAAGTGATGCCGTTTCGAGTTAAATTTGAATTTCGGGGCTTACGGACACTCGGGTGACACCACAGGAGCAGTATGGAGGCATGTTATGTTTGAAGAAGTGGTCACCATTTACCTCAATTGGATTGGATTTGGCTGTAACGCTGTTTACCCCTGAAATTCAAAAAGTGTTTTGTGAACTCAAACACTTCACCCACCCCTCCATGGGCACAGTGGTGAGTAGATAATGAGTGAATTTTCATTTTTGGGTGAACTATTCCTTAATCTCTGACCAATTCATACCTAATCACAATTCACATCTTACACCAACTTTAACAGGGACCCCATAAATTACGTTTTGTCATAAGGACCAGGTTTTCACGTGTGGTCCACTGCTAGTCTGTGTTAATGCTGGAAAAGAGGCAACAGAACTGTATACACACGCACACACTCGATCAACATGCTACACACTTGCTGTCTGCTGAGATATGTAAGGATGTATGTTATTAGTAATTCAGCGTTTAGTCTCCTGCAGTGTATCCTTATAACTCCTCCTGCAGGGTGAGATAATTCACTGCATCACTCCAGGTCTCTGTAACAGGGAAAAAAAAATCCTAGCCAATGTAATTAGATGTAGGACCTTCAAAGTGCTGCTCTGTAAATAGCATCAGTCCATTTTGCTGCATGCCTCTATTTTTAGAGCAGAGATGCTGCACTGGGAACCATGGCTTTAATGTCCTCCTGCAACAGTGAATCTGTTAACTCTTGGTCGAGATGCACCGCACTGCAGGACAGCATTGATTTCTTGTCGCACTTCTGCTTGTGCAAATGACTCCCCGCTCATAAATCTCATTGCCAGCGAACAGATCCGGGGCAGTGTGGCTCCATCTTAGCGGAGTATTTGTAAGTGTGCGCTGTAAGTGAAGCTTCTGTCTCATTGCAGGCCCTGTATGAGAATGAGTGAGTTGACCATGTGTATGAATGCATTATGCATCTCCTCCTATGCTGCACACCCACTCCGAACATTTCTTCATCAATCAGTGCTACGGCAGATAAAGCTCAGAACGCTGGTTTCATGTAATGGCTTGGAAACGCTAGAGAGTGTGATCTTGTCTTCTTCACTTGTTTGCAAGAGTCCAGAGAGTCTCTTAGGGGAGTATATATCAAATATTATTAGTACATATTACAGGCTGGCATTATTATTGGCTGGATCTTGTTTACGTGATTTGTTCTCCAGCTGAGTCTAGTAATAAAAGTGTCTAATGCACATGGTTAACAGCCACATAAGAGGCCTGTGGCAGCAGAATAAACAATGCAGATAAGATGAGCATTTGTGTTTGCATTTAACGTAAATGTTTTAATTTTTAAATTGAAGTTCAATAAATTTGGCTGTGTTTGTATTTTCTTTTTAATTATAATTGTTGGTAGATAGATATGATAGAGTTAATACTTCAAATGTAAAGTATCGTCAGAAAATAGATCATCATTATTCCCTAAAGCCCAGCGATGTCATCGTAATGTTTCTTATTTTGTTTGAAAACGAAAGATGTTCAGTTTGATCACATGTACAACAAAGAAAAGTATGAAATCTGTATTGGGGAGAAGTGATAAATGATAAATGACAAATGATATTCCTTCTATTATAAAAGGAATGACTCTCCTTACTCAGCTCAGTTTGTACGAGTATAAACCTTTTTGATTAAATTCAAGAGGCCATTTTTAAAGCACATAACAACTAGACTGAATCAATTAATCTGAATATTTATCCTTTAAACAGCGACTTGTAATGTCAGTTTGCTGCAGGCAGTTCATTCAGCCATCTGTCAGATTGTACAGTTTGACGACTCAACCAGAAATCAGCACAGATTTAAACCCTGACTCTTCGTATTATTCTATTAAAAAGTGTAATGATAATGACACAGTTTTATTTTCTGATATGAGCTTCAATTTAACCTCTTCCTTAGTCCTGAGTCGCTCTGACAGGATGTGGCAGAATGGTGCATTTTGATTGCTCTCTTTTCTCTAGAATAGCTTTCTGTTGTGCTGAATGCAGTATGTGGATATAAAAGAATCTTTGTTTGAAATAACACTGCACTGTAAAGTCACACGTAGAGGTGATATGATTAGTCAGCTATTTTTAATCATCAAGTTATTTCCAAGCTCAAACTCTTTAGTTTCATCTTCTTCAGTGCATGTGAGGAGATTACTGCCTATGTCTGTTTGTTTATTATTGCACAAGAATGATTTTAACGGTTTGTCGGACAAAAATTTTTAGAGATGTCTCTTTGAGTGCTGGGAAAGTGTTGTGGGTATTTTTCATTATTGTCTGATGTTTTGTGGAGCAAATGATTAATGGATTACAGGCAAATATGCAGCACAATTTATGCAAGAGGCCATTTCAGAGTGGTTCAGTTTAGTTCTGTCATTTAACAGCATAAACATAACATACATAATACAAGCATAAGGTGCGATGTGTACAAATTTACAGGCAATATGCAATACATTAAAAAAAGATCAACAAAATGGGGGCATTAGAAAATAGCAGGTTTTTATGGCAGCTTATGACTTGTCCAATGTATCTGTTGTTTTGGACAATTTAAGGTGCCACCTTGGGCTTTGAGAAGTTAATTGTTAAAAAATGTTTTGCATTCCTAGTTATTTTCAAAGATTAGAGATATCAAACGATTGTGAAATGAATCAGGATGTTCTGAAGTCATCATGAAAAAATGCCATTCAGCCCAAAAGGGCATTTTCAGGAGACCAGCAACAATGACTTGATTCATTTGATGGTCTATAGAAAATTCCAGAACAGGCTAATTTGAGAATATTGTGGGTTTTGGAATTGGCCATTAAATGAGGTCACCTTGTGCTGTAGGACACTGAGCATTGTTTCTGATGTTTTATACAGCAAACTATGAATTGATTAATTCGAGAAAAGGATCTTCAGATTATTGAAGTGAAGAAAAATGACTGTTTGTTGTAGCCCAAGTTTGCAACCACGATCCAAAAGCAAACAAACATCACTGTGACATGAGTGAGATCGTTCAGATGTGGACGGGACAGTGGCGTGCAGGCACAGTGTGACTGGCTCAGCACATCTCGACTTCCAGAGGTGTCAGGATTTGTCTCTCAGCAGTTCTAGTCTGGAGCTGAGGTGTTGGGTGTACTGTTCAGGCCCACTCGTGTTGTTTACAGGGAATCTATACAGGACTTGATGAATCTGTCGTGGGCTGTACAGCAGGGTGATGATGTCAGTTGAAAAAAAAACATGATTGTCTGTGATGATCTCCCTGGTCTGGTTGTTTGTCTCCTCTGCTTCCGACTTTGTTGCCGTAGAGTGCTTCTATGGAAACGGAGTGGGTCTATTACCAATGCGCCCACACACTCCCCAGAGACCTAGAGCTGCAGCTTTTATAAATCTCCTCAATCTCATGTGCACGCTGCACGGTGCCTATAGACCACGCTCATGACTACAGCCCCTCAACCTCCTCCTCCTCCTCTCTGAGCAGCCATAATCAATGTTACTCCTCTTTTGCGTTGGCCTCTGCAATTGGGACATTTCAGTCCAGTGAAATGAACAGAACAGTTTGGTGTCTGGTGTCTGGTGTCTTCATGATTGAATGATTATATAAACAAGCTTCCCTGACCACTAATGATCATCACACAGACAGGATGTGGTATTATATTATTATTATAACGCCAAGGTCACTTGGAGGACTTTTGGATGTGTGCGCCGTGTGACCCGGTAACAAATTTAAAAGATTCTATTAATTGAACATTAACCAAGTGAGAGCAGCCGTGCAGGGGCGTCCCAGCAGAATCAAATTAAAGCTCCCAAGGAATAGCAGTAATAATGGCCGCGGCACTGAGGTCATCTCTCTCCTGCTCTCTGCACTATGATAAATGTTGACGTGACCCCTGTGCACAGTCTGAGGATGATGATTTATAAGAAACATTTAATCTATTAGTCGACTGACAGAAAATTAATCAGCAACTATACAATATTACTACATTTTCCGTCAAAATGGCCAAATATCATCTTGTTTTACATTCTCACATCTGCTTTTTTGTTGTATCTGAAAATAAACCATAAATCTTTAAACATAATGAAAATGCAGACTAATCACTTATGAGAATTATTATTATTATGAAATATATATGGATATTTGTTCACTACTTCCAAGCATTTTATTGACCAAAACCATTGCATGATTGAACAAACATTAGTTGCAGCCCATGTGCTACATTTTCTTCTCTTTTTCAAAGACTTTAATTCACCTTTGTTTTCTGATTTAAATTTGAATGCTATTTGTCTTTTTGATTATTTCACATGATCTTTTTTTTTTTTCCTTTCCTTTCTGGTTCCCTTTTAATTTACCCTGTCGTTTTCTCACCTTTCCATCCCACACCTGTTTCCCTTTGGGCTTATCTCTGGACATGTCGTCCCTCAAACCTCCACCTCCACCAGCCGGCTTTGTGAAGTCCCCTCTTTCCGAGACTAAACTCACAGGCGACGTCTTTGAGCTGTACTGTGACGTGGTGGGAAACCCCACCCCAGAGATCCAGTGGTGGTACTCTGAGATCAACCGAGCCGATTCTTTCAGGCAACTGTGGGACGGCGCCCGTAAGCGTCGGGTGTCCATCAGCACGGCTTACGGCACCAACGGCGTGAGCGTGCTGGGCGTCTCTCGTCTCACGCTGGATGACTCCGGGACCTACGAGTGCAGGGCCAGCAATGACCCACGACGTAATGAGCTACATCAAAATCCAGCCACCACCTGGATCCGTGCTCAGGCCACTATAACGGTGCTGCAGAGTGAGTGGCCAGTGTAGAGGACTCCCCCAACCACCACCACTACCACCCCCCACCCCCAGCAGCCATATTAAACAGTTCCTGTGTGATTCAGACTCCCTCGATCCTCTCCAGAGGACGGCTAGCTTCCTCTATAGACACCATCCTACCCTACAGACCTGGAAAATAAAGAAAAACACAACCGACCCATCCTCATTTTTTTTTTACAAGCAGAGTTGAGTAGTATTTTGTGTTGTGCTCATTCTTTAGTTTAGTACAAACCTCAGTCTGTAGAGTCCGGGTTCCCTTCATCTCCCTTCTACTTCACTTAGACTTAGATTTCCTGTCTTCAAAGTAGTTGATGGAGCTGATGGTTTCATTCATTCACCAGTTATGAAGTCTTACGTGTTTATTTTTTACTGTACTGTGACGTTTGTATGTGCTGTCCAAATTGATTAGAAGTTTCACCAGTGTCTACATGTTTAAGCACGATGTGGATAATTAGGATTAAGCAACATATAGATTACACTATTTCACATTTCCTCCAGAGCAACTTCATCTCTAGACTATGAGAGAGTCGTTGGAAAGATCCTGACCTACACTTGTCTTTGCTGGCTGCTAACATGAATATGTCTTTTATAAATGCTGAGTCAGTTGTGGTAGGATTACCTGCACAATTAAGTTCTTGGGAGCTCAGTAGGTTTATGCTTCATGAAAAGGATTTGGGGAACAAACTAGTCACCGGTCTACCTGATATTCAGATAAGGTAACAATGCAATAAGTTTACAGCCCAGCTCTGTAATTTAAGAGTGGCAGGTGGCTGAAAACTACGGTGTCCGAGACGTTGCACACAAGCTCATTAACGAAAGCACGAATGCAAGATCCACAACACAAATGCAAAAGTGACAACACTACCGCAGAAGCAACACAACGGAGACACTATCACAGTGGAAGCGAGTGAAAACAGATGTAAGAAATGAAACGAGAAGAGTTCATTTCTACAGTCAAGTCAGCCGTCTATTGTGAAAAACAGTAAACAGTCAGTCACCAATATTTGATGCTCGTCTGATGTCTGTGTTCTTCAAGTACCTGTAAACACCCTCTTCGACTGGCTTGACATGTTTTTCACAAACGACGGCTCAATTGACGGCAGAAAGTAACTGCTCGATTTTACTGTCAACATTCATCGTTGCTCACTTCCATTGTGATTGTGTTTTTGTGTGGATCTTTTCGTTGAAATGTCACTTCTGCATTTATGTTGTAGCATTTGCAGTTCTGTTGTGAATCTTGCATTTGTGTTTTTCCGATAATGCACTTGTGTGAGTCCACCATATAAATGCTTGCAGACCACAACACAGAGACACAGCTGCAGAATTCATCAGGAACTGAACACTTGAATGGATGCCTATTTCAGGAACCCCTGATGCCCAAATGAATTCCTCCCACTCAGCAACTCAGTTTCTTTTATATTATCTATAACTCTATCTTATATAAAGTGTGGTTGTCGTGTCTCAATCATTTGTGTGTTGTTTACATCTTTGGACACACCCTCACCCACGAGTCCTAGCAAGCATCACCTCTGTGGTAGCTGATCTGAGTCTCTTTTTACAGAGCCATCAATCGCCGCCTCTGAACACATCACACTTCCAGTGGAAGGCGACACTTTCACGCTGCAGTGCAACCTGACCAGCGCCTACAGTGTCCCCGAGGAGAGCTACTGGATGAAGAATGGCGAGGAGATCCCGGACACACGCAGTGTGAATAAGAACACCGAGTACAGGTGGAAGTCACAGCAAATTCTTATGTGTGTGTGTGTGTGTTCAGCTGTCGGTTGTGGGTTCATGTGAGGTGTGTTTATGCTCTGCAGGCTGAACAAACCAAGGGGAGACGACGCTGGAGTGTACACATGTGTCTACACCTTTGAGGTGGCTCCGCCAGGCAACGCCAGCATTGAAGTTAAATGTAGGTGTTGATTTGTGAGCTACAGGCGTCTGTGTTAGTTTCATGGCCACATCAGAGATGTCACCAATAAAAACAGCCCATGTAGCCTTGAGCCACCAGCAGCCTTGTCATGTGAGGGCCTGTGATTTTCAAACGGCTCTGCTAGCGGCTCAGGGGCAGCCGGCGCCCTTGACACCTCCATCTAACCAATGCCAGGCTCAGTGGCAGCAGATGGTGTCTTGTTTGTCTGATGGCAAAGGATTAAGTCCCAACCGCAAAATCTGGTTAGCCTTCTCTGCTGTCGCTGTTTAGATGTATTTTATGGGGAAATTTCTGTTGGTCCAGGCAAAAAAAAATTATTGTAGTTGTGCAGGTAACAAATAAAAGAATTATAACAATACAAAGAATAATACAGACATCATTTCCTATTGTATCTTCTCTCATAAAAGACTTGAAAAGGGGAATTGTTTTTATGTCTTAGATGAGTAAAAATACACAACATCCTGCATGTGTAATTCTTTTATATTGTGTACCTGTAGTACATTTGTTGCATCATTTCCTCCCTGCAGGACATTTTCTTTTAGCTGTCTCACTCTGCTTTGTGCATCTTACTTGAAAAATACATTACAAATGAATAATTATCACAATTATTATTTGAACTATCCTTTTGTATTATTATAACTATTACTTGGTATTTTCTCTGTTTTAGCTGCTCCTGAGATTACAGGCCACAAGCGCAGTGAGAATAAGAATGAGGGCCAGCTTGCTGTGCTCTACTGCAAGTCTGTGGGCTATCCTCACCCTGTCTGGACCTGGAAGAAGTTTGAGAATGGAGTTTTTAGGGTATATAACACAAATACAGACACTTATATAATTAGATTTGTATATATGTTAATTTGTGAACTGCAAGTGTGTTCAAATCTGACGCAGTAACATCTCGACACACAGAGAAGAAACATTTCTGTTAGGCTTGGTTACTGAGTTGGACCCCAAAGCAGACGCGGACTGGTGGTTTGCGGTTTTAACAGAGTTTATTTATACGAACACAAACAGGAGCAGGCTGGGGTGGCAGGGTGCAGGCTGGCTCGAAGATCCA